CGTTTGCCTGTAGGGCAGGCGCTGCAGACGGGGCACTCGAGGGCCCTGCCCACATTTTCTGAGCGGCCTTCCTTGCCCCCCAGCTGAAGGAGGAGAACGAGAGGCTCCAGGCCACCCTCACTCAGGACCAGAGGAAGGCGGCGGCCCAGTCCCAGCGCCAGATCAGCGCGCTCCGCGCCCAGCTGCAGAAACAAGCCCGCCTCATCGCCTCTCAGGAGGAGAAGGTGGGTCTGCCTCTCCCTGGGCTTTCCAGGCTGCTTCTTGGATTCTGCAGTGCGCCGCAGGGCTGATGTCCTTAGGCTCCTGGAGGGTAGGGGAGAGGCCTGCAGCGTGCGGGAAGTGCTGTACTGAGGCTGCTGTTGGCTGCCCCAGGCTGAACACGCTGGGTCCTTCTTAGGGGCTGCTGGGAGATGGCGTCTCAGACATCAGAAGCCGTGCATGATGCCCGCCACTGGGTGGCGCTCTGCATGCTACCTCCCGTGAGCCTCGTCACCGCCCTCGACTGGTGAAGTCGAGTGCCTGCTTAGTCTGCTCAGGGCAGCGCGCAAGCGACAGGCGTGAGACCCAACTACAGCCAGGCCGGCGGAGTGTGGAGCTTGTGCTCGCAAACGTGGTTTTGTTGCTTTTCTGATTTCTTTTCCCAAAGAAACCTTTTATTTAAGGAATACAGACTTCATGCATTTCATAAGTACACCTTTAGGAATACAGTGATTCTTCCCACCACGCCCGCCCTCCCACCCACTCTCTCACCCCACCTCCCCCTCCTTCTCCCATTCCCAGTCCCATTCTCCACCAAGATCCATTTTCAGTTAACTTAATATTCAGAAGACCAACTCTCTACTAAGGAAAGAGTTCAACAGTTTGCACCAAAAAAACTCAAAAAGCCGTCCTCAACAGTCGAGACAAGGGCTGTTCAAAGTCATTGCATCTCGAAGTTAATTTCACTTTTTTTCTTAAAACTTAATTAACTTTAAAGAAGCACCCAAGAATGATACACCTTTTGCAAGCAGACGTGACTATAACTCATGAGACATAAGAATATCCTCTACTTAATACATCGAAAGAAAGTAAATCCCTGGGAACAAGTTTTATTGTTAATTAAGGAAACACCTAAGAAGGCAGGCGATGGAGTTGCCCGCTTAGGCATAACTGAAACTTATGCGACATAAGAATGTCTTCCCCTTAATACACTAAAACTACATATATCCTTGAGAGCAGTTTTACTGTTAACTCTCATAATCCATCTCTTTGAGGACGGAGGTCCTGCGTGGGGAGCTGGTGCACAGTGACTCCTGTTGTTTATTTAACAATGAACACTCTGATCAGACATGGTTTCTGAACCATCAGTGCATAGCCTCTGAGGATGGGCTTGTCAGCGATGCTGGTGGACCCAAGGTGCCTGCTCGCTGCCCCCCTCTGTCCTGCAACCAGCCCCTGGGGCTCTGCACCCATGGCCCATCATTCTCTGCCCGGCTCAGCTCTGGGAGCCCTGGCTCTGTGGAAAAGCTGCGTTTTTCCCCTTGGGGGCCCCTCTTGGGGCCTCGGGTCTTTACCATGGTTATGACATCACAGTCTCTGGGACCGGCCTCCACAGAGTCCCTGGCGGAGCACCTGCTCTGTGCCCATGGCTGGCTGTGTCCTGCTGTCCCAGCCCCGCCTTGCCAGCCGACATCTCTCCCAGCTCCCCTGCGGCCCCCCCCCCCCCCCCCAGGTCCTCCTTGAGTGGGCGGTGCCCCCGGCTCCAAGTTTCCCCCCAGATTTTCATGGGGTCTCCCAAGGCACCCTTGGGCCAGGCGAAGAACGTAGATAAAAAGGGTTCGTTTTTGCCGAGCGTCAGGAGGTGATAGTTGTGAGAGGAGAGGCTCGCGCGAAAAATTA